CTAAAAGCCACAGCAATACCCATGCCACTTCCTAAATGCCACGCTCCTTAGTTTTTAGTTTGATACCATCCTATTTATTTTATTTCAAGATTTTACTTCTTACACTTTAGGAGTCTTTTTGAGAAATTAAGTTCCTAAGCAAACATTATGGATAGTTGAGCCTACATCTTTTTCTATTAGGAACAAGACTCTGGTCTATTGCACAGTCCCTAGGCATTAGATCCACTTTGACTTGTATACAAGGTGAGATAGAGGATAAATTTCATTAACCTACATATGCATTTCCAGTTTTCACAGCACGATTTGTTGGAAAGGTTATATTTTCTCCAATGTATGATTATGGTACCTTTGTCTAGTACGAGATAACTGTATTTATGTGGGTTTGTCTCTGTGCCTTCCATTCCTTTCCATTAGTCTTCATCTCTGTCTTGGTGCCAATACCATGCTGTTTTGTTACTATAGCTCTGTGGTATATTTTAAGGCCTGCTATTGTGACGCCCCCTGCTTTGCTTCTTGCATGGAGGATTGCTTTAGCTATTCTGAGCCTCTTGTTCGTCCAGATGAGCTTCATAGCTGCTTTTTCTATGTGTATTAAGACGTCATTGGAATTTTAATAGGAATTGTATTCAATCTGTAGGGCTTTTGGTAGTATGGCCATTTTGACAAGATTAATTCTGCATACCCAAGAACATGCATGAGGTTTCCATCTTCTAAGATCTTCAATTTCTTTCTTTCATGTTCTGTAGTTGTCATTGTAGAGGTCTTTCACCACTTTTGTTCGATTGCTTTTCTAATTTCTTTTTTCACTTGACTCATCATTAATGTGCAAGAATACAGTTGATTTAAGTACTTTTTGTTTTCCCCGATTCCTTCTGCTAGTCATTGGTCATTCAATATCAGCACCAGGTGTTAGAGTAGCTTCTGTTTTATCACTGATTTGTAATTTGATTCCATTATGATCTGACATGCTGCAAGGTATTGTCTCTATTTTTCTGTATTTGCTAAAAGAGTCCTTGTGGCCTAAGATTTGGTCTATTTTAGAGAAGGATGTGTGCTGGTGAAGAGAACGTGTTCAGTGATTTATGGATGAAGTGTTCTATATATGTCTAATAAATCTAAATTATTAATTTTCCTTTTTAGTTCTATAGTCTCCTTTAGTTTTTGTTTGGAGATCTATCCAGGGGTGAAAGAGGCATGTTAAAGTACCTAGTATTATTGTTGTGATCTATTTGAGTATTGAAATTGAGAAGGGTTTTTAATGCATGTAGATGCTCCATAATGTGAGGTATAAATATTTAGGTTTTTTTTTTTTTTTGATGTATGATTCTCTTAAGCAGTATGAAATAAACTTATTTGCCCCTTCTGATTGACTTTTCCTTGAATCCCTTCATGTGATATGAGAAGAGAAACCCCTGCTTACTGAAAAATCCATGTGAATGATATGCTTCTTCTTACCTTTTTACCTCCAGTCTATGGATGTCTTTGCATATGTGAGTCTCTTAAGAACAGCACATTGTTGCATCTTGTTTTTAACCAAATCAGACAGTCTATATCTTTTGATTGAGGCCATTTACATTCAATGGTATCAAGAAATCATTTTTATTGCCTGTCACTTTTTTCCTGTTTTAACTTGAATGTTTCTCCTTTGATTGATATTCTTCTAGCACAGTCCTTCCCTTTACCGCTTTTCAATCTTATTTTTCCATTTCTTCTTCATGAAGCATTTTACTGAATACGTTTTGTCATACAGGCTTTCTGGTTGTGAATTCTATTATTTTATCATAGAAGGTTTTTATTTCACTATCAATTCTAAAATTTAATTTTGCAGGGTATAGTATCCTTAGCTGGCATCCACTTCCTATCAGAGATTGGTAAATATTATTCCAAGACATGCTACCTTTAAGGATCTGGATTGAAAAATCAGCTGAGAGAATGACTGGCATCCCTCTAAATGTGATCTATTTTTCTCTGAAGGGGGTCTAAAATGTATCCATATGCTGTACATTAGACATTTTTATAATAATGTGCTTTGGTGTGCTTCTGTTGTAATTTTGTATATTTTGGCTCTTCTATGACTTTTTATTTGATTTTCCATTTGATCCTTGGGGTTTGAGAAAATTTCAGATTATTTGATTGAAAACATTGTATATTCTTTTCATTAGTATCTGTGATGATTCATGAATCCCAATAAATCTTACATTTAGTCTTTTCATGTTCTCCCATATTTCTTGGAAGTTCATCGTAGTCTTAACATCTTTTCTCCAGGGTCAACTTTATTTTCAAAATTTTATAGTTTGTCTTTTTTGCATGAAACTATCTTCCAAGTGGCCTATTCTGCTGGTGATGCTTTCCATTGAATTTTTAATTTGATTTATTGATTCCATAATTTTGAGAATTTCCTCGTGTTTTTAGAATATCTATATCTTTATTGAAGTGATATTTTCACTTCCTGTGTTTTCTCTGATTTCACTCTTTACACTGTCCTTTACCTCACAGATCAGTTTAACTATGAACATTCTAAACTCCTTGTCTGACATTTCTTCCACTCTGATATTGAAGAACTCTGCTATTATAATGTCATGCTTTGGGAAAGTTTGTCCCATGCCTTTTCATATTGTTTTGAGTCTCTACCATCAAACAGTACGGATCTGGGTCAGTTGAGTTTCTACACTGTGGACTTAGAGTGTCCCAGAAGGTTTCCAGTACCACATAGTTTAGAGGAAGACAAATAATAACAACCACTGCAAACAATATATAGCACTAAACCAAATATTTACTGCTATAACATCTAGAATGCTAACTGTCACAATAAACAGAAGTTATGTAATCAGTTGTTACCAACATTAAAAGTAGTAAGTTTGCAAAAAGGTTTACAATTTCAAGTGGTGAACAGGGAAGAAAAATTGAAAAAAAACGTGCAATGGAGTGAGTAGGAGGAAGGAAAGTAGAGAAAAGGAGAGAAAGTAGAAATAAAAAAGTAAAGATGAAAGAGAACTATAGAGTTTGTCTGAGAGCAGAAGAAAGGAGTCTCAATGGAAATAAGTAGAGAAAAATATGTAAAACAGAAATAGAAATAAATTAAAACTAAAGGAATACAAAACAAAACTGAAATAACTAAGCAAACATCTTAACCCTCAAAAAACTTAACAATGACTGCCTTCTGAAATTGCTATAAGAAATAGAGACAACTATGTGTATGTAAAGTGTCAATGAAACACTCAGGTCACATTAAACAGAAAAGAAAAAAATTAAAAATACTTCAGTGGAATCAAAGAATTGTTTCCATTGTAGTTCAAAAAAGTCTTGGCTTTCCTTCTCTGCAGTGTTGGGTGGGGTGAGCTGTAGTGTGATCTTTGTTCCACAGACAAGGTGGGGACACGGGAATATGAGAGTAGATCTAGAAGGCAGAGACCCTGAAGGTGGACTTTAGACTGAGGTAGAATCCATGTTCTTTTTCAAATGCTCATTAATCTGAGGATTTTAAAATCAGTTCACCTCCAGGGCTCCAACAGTTGCCAGTCCATGATAGGGGACTGCATCCTAGAAATATCCCATTGGATCTATTTGTATGGCTAAGGAGCTAATCCTTTGTACCCTCTGACACCCACTGGCCCCATGTTTTCGGGGCTCTCAGGTTGGGTCTCCATATTTAATCACTCTCACACCTACCCTTTTGAATTCCTGGCCAGATGAATCTCTCCCAGCTGGTCCTGTGAGCTGCTGCATTCAAGGAACAGGGAGAGCTGGGTAGGATTCCAAAACTTATACATATAAATATGGACTGTTATGGTTTAGATACAAGTTGTCTCTGAAATCTCATGTGAGACACTGTGAAAATGTTCAGAGGTAAATGATTCTAAAACTTAATTTTGCAGGGTATATTATCCTTCGCTGGCATCCTGTATTACCCTGTGTAAAGGCTTCTCCACATCTGATTTCGTTCTGGTCACTTAGGTACACTCTATGTCATGCAATGTGGGTTTTCCAGGCCTATATTTTAGGCCTATGTTGGGTTTGCCTGGAACTGGCTCCCCCAGGTGACAGCCTCCAGTGGCACAGCTACAAAACGAATTATTTCACTGTCCTCTACAGGCAGCTGGAGGGATGTGGCTTCTTTTCTGCACTAGGATATGGTGCAGCATACCTTTCAAGCTAGTCTAGAAGTGATTATGCTCCCTGATCTCTCTGTACCCAGACATGTCAGTTCTTTTAATGCCCTTATCCCTCCAATTTTCTCATAGAGGTTCTACTTCAGCTGGTGCTGGGAATTGTTTCCTTATTTTATTGCGTCCAACTTCCTGGGTCCTCCACCTCTTTTGAATGGCCAGTATTAATTCCCAGTAATATCCCTGGTTTTCATACTCCTTGCAGAGAAACTACCTTTCTTGGTTTCATGCAGGGAACAACCAGAACAATTACCTTCTCTATTCTGACATCTGGAAATCTCCCCTCAAATATGATAATTCTGATATAAATTATGATAATCATGTTTTCTCCAGTTTTTAAAAGTGAGAGCATTTGGTAATGTTTGATTTAAACTACACTAATATGCTTTCAGTGTGGAACCTTATCTGCACGACACTGTTTCTGTATTTCATTGCTTCTATCACAATAAAGTTTACTAAATCTTAAGCAAAACTTAAAACTTATTATCCTTTTCTTTATTAAAGTAATTTTTCTCAATAGCCTTCACATGCACCACGATATGTGGTATAGATAAGAACTTTAGTATACTTCTTATATTTGAAATGGATTTTTCTAAATTACGTTTTCTGTTATCTAAAGTATATATTTTGAACAAATGTCATTCCATATTAGCTTCCAAGAATAAGGCTTCATATTTTGAAGAAATTTTGAAAATTGATTAGTCTTAGACACATTACTTATATTTTTAGGATTTCTACAAAACTATAAAATCTCCAGGTTTTAGTAACGGTTGAACCATGGCTAAAAGCTTTGATAATTTTTCTTCTTTTTCTTTCCCTCCCTCCCTCCCTCTCTCTCTCTCTCTCTCTCCCTCCCTCCCTCTCTCTCTCTCTCGTATAAATTCTCAAGGGACTGAACAATATCTGAGTGAACAACTGTTGGAAACTTTCTCAATTTTTTTTTACATTTCTATTTCTATCTGCTATGATTCCTCTGGTGTGGAGTAAGTGTTGAACCATTGTCAACTGTTGACAGTGTCACGTTTCACTTGTAGAGGTTCTCTCCAGTATGGATTCTCTGATGTAGTGTAAGGCATGGTTTTCAATCAAAACCTTTGACGTTATTTACAATGGTATGGCTTCTGTCCAGTATGAATTCTCTTGTGATCAATAAGGTATGACCTTTGGTTAAAACCTTTGCCACATTTTTCACATTTGTAGAGCTTCCCTCCAATATGAAATTTCTGGTGTTTGGCAAGGGTCGATCTGTGATGAAAAGCTTTGCTACATTCTTCACAGTTATAGGGCCTATCTCCAGTATGACTTTTCTGGTGTTGAGTAAAGATTGATATGTAATTAAAACTTTTGCCACATTCTTCACATGTGTAGGGCCACTCTCCAGTATGAATGCTCTGGTGGTCAGCAAGCTTAGCTCTTTGACTGAAAGCTTTGCCACATTCTTTACAATTGTATGGCTTCTCTCCAGTATGAATTCTCTGGTGCACTTTAAGTTGTGATGTTTGAGCGAAACCTTTGCTACATTCTTTACATTTGTAAGGCTTCTCTCCAGTATGAACTCTCTGATGGCTAGTAAGGCTTGATTTTCTACAAAAATCTTTGGCACATTCTTTACATTTGTAGGGCTTCTCTCCCGTATGAATTCTCTGGTGTATAATAAGATTTGATCTGTAATGAAAGCCTTTGCCACATTCTTCACATGTGTAGAGATTTTTTCCAGCATGATTTTTCTGGTAATAAACAAGGTCTGATCTTTGATTAAAAGGTTTGCCACATCCTCCACATTTGTAGGGCTTCTCAACAGTATCAACACTGTGATGTGGAGGAAGGTTTTGAATTTCATTAAAAGTTTTGTTACATTCTTTACATTTGTAGGACTTTTCTCCAGTGTGAATTTTCTGGTGTTCATTAAGATGTGCTCCTTGCTTAAAACCTTTGCCACATTCTTTACATTTGTAGGGGCGCTCTCCAGTATGAATTCTCTGGTGTTGAGTAAGGCCTGCTCTGAAATAAAAGCTTTTGCCACATTCTTCACATTTGTAATGCCGCTCTCCAGTATGAACTCGCTGGTGTTCCTTAAGATATGATCTTTCTTTAAAATCTTTGCCACATTCTTCACATTTGTAGGGTCGCTCTCCAGTATGAATTCTCTGGTGTTGAGTAAGGCTTGATTTTTGACTAAAACCTTTGCCACATTTTTCACATTTGTATGGCCGCTCGCCAGTGTGAATTCTCTGGTGTATCTTAAAATATGATCTTTGTTGAAAACCCTTGCCACATTCTTCACATTTATAGGGTTTCTCTCCGGTATGAACTCTTTGGTGGTGAGTAAGGGTTGATCTTTGACTAAAACCTTTACCACATTCTTCACATGTGTAGGGCCTCTCTCCAGTATGAACTCTCTGGTGTTCAGCAAGCTTTGATCTTTGATAAAATCTTTTACCACATTCTTCACATGTATAGGGCCGCTCTCCAGTATGAATTTTCTCATGTTGAGTAAGACTTGATCTTTGACTAAAACCTTTGCCACATTCATCACATTTGTAGGGCCGCTCTCCAGTATGACTTCTCTGGTGTGTTTTAAGCTGTGATGATTGATAAAAACCTTTGCTACATTCTTCACATTTGTAGGGCCACTCCCTTGTATGATTTCTCTTGTGTGCAGTAAGCAATGATCTCATATGAAAAACTTTGCCACATTCTTTACAGTTGTACTTCTTTCCATTATAAGAACCTTGGGGTTGAGTAAAGATTGAAAAATTCTTCAAGGATTTGGCATATTCTTCACACTTGTAGGATTTGTCTCCAGTACAAAGTAACTGGCATTGATTATCAAGTGAGCTTTTTGTTCTCTCACAGCTATGAAATCTGAGACGTTCAGAAAGGGTTGAGCAATTATTAATGGCTGTGACACATTCTTTACACTTGCATGGCTTCTCTCCAGCACAAATACTCTGATGCTTAACCGGGGGTGATCTTTGATTAAAACTTTTGCCACATTCTTTAAATTTGTAGGGTTTATCACTGTCATGGTATCTGTGGGGTTTAGAAAGGGTTGAATGATTAAATGCTTTGATACATTCTTTGAACTCATAGGACTCCCTTCCAGTATGAATTCTCTTCTATTGAGTAAGTTTTGCAATTTAATTAAGTGCTTCTTCATATACCTTACACTTGCAAGTCTTGTATTGCCTGTGAATTATTTGGATGGATACTTAAGTTTTAAGCACTGAAGTAAGACTTCACATTGTTCATCTTTGGAAAGGTTCTTTGAAAAATGGAGCATATTAATTATTTATGGCATTGCAACCTATACTAAAATTTTTGAGTTTCTTTTTATTCATAATTTTTATCACCAATACAAACACACTAGTACTTAATTAGAGTAGTCACCTGGCTAAAGGTGTTTCACTACATATGTAGCATACTTTCTGGAAATCTATGTCTGAATTTCCATGAAGGAGTAAGAACCTCTCTACAATCATTGAAATTGTATGTATGGACACAAGGAGAAATTATTGCTTTATGGCAGAATAATGAACATTTGGAAAAGAAACTCTCAAAAGGACCACTTTTAGAAACTTGTCTTTCACTTTTAAATCTCTTTTCTCTACAAAAGTTTGACTAGAATTGGTCAAGTTAAAAATTGAAGCATGTACTAGGATCTCTTTTCAGATTTTCAACATTTCCTTTCAGAGGAAATGTATGTTTCAGAGACTGCTGTGGGGGCTAGGGTTGTGGCTCAGTGGCAGAGCACTTGCCTAGCATGTGTGAGGCACTGGGTTTGATTCTAAGTACCACATATAAATAAATAAAATAAATATCCATCAACAACTAGAAAAAAAAAAAAAAGACTGCTGTGTACATATTTTTAAAGACATAGAAAGCCCCCAAAAAGTAACTGGCATAAGTGAATTCTTTTCTGAGATGTTAAATGTTCATAATATCTATTAGCAATGAAGTTTTCATTATGAAGTCACTGCTAATTTGTTTTGTCCTTTGTAATATTATTTCTGACCTTCACTCTCACTTATAGTTTCCCATGTTTTTCTTAGTTGTAAGTAGTCAAAGTCCCAATTTCCATACCTTCCCTTCATCATTCTTTGAAACAAATATTTTATTCCCTGCTCTGGTGGAGATTCATGCATATGATGAGAAGTCCTGGCTGAAATAAACAAAAATAACAATTATTATACTTATTAAACTGGGATGAATAAATACATTTTGAAAACATAACATATAAAATTATACCCATGTCAGGACATCAGCAGGAAATCCAAGGCCATCATTACTCCAGAAATAAATAGACTAAGAAAAATGGAGATAGAAATACTCTGTGAGTACTGTCCAAAACCATCTTAGAGAACATAGGGTCCAAGATGAGTACATTACTAAGAAGAGTGATATAGTAGTGGGAAGGAAACTGTGTTACTTTTATCAACCAGCCCTCCCCTCCCCCATAATATAGCATTGTGCAATTAGAAAAAAATTTATCAACTCCCTTCCCTCTCAGTATTATATGTGAAATATGAAGCACAAGCAAACATTTGTGGCTTTCTTGAGGACTGTCTAAAAACTGGTTTCTCTCTGCCATGACAGAGATCTAGAGAAAAGAGATTTTGAATGACAATACCACAAAGATGTTCAAGAAGGGTAAAAGCCAACGGAATCTCAAGAAAAAATACAGAGAAAATTCTTAATATTGAAAAACACACACGCTTCAAAAAGATTCACCATTAAAAAAAGCTTGAGAGGCAATTAAAAACCTGGCACAGCCTATGACCATATTACCTGGAAGAAGCCAACACATGGTGATCAAGACATAGAGCTTGTAATTTACATTTTTAAATATTTGTTATTTATAGACTTATTTTATTGACAAATTAAGTTCTAAGTATATATGAAGTATGCCATGTATTTAAAAGTATACATGCATGGTGAAATGACTAAACCTAGTGAATTAATGCATGCATTATTTCATATAATTATCAGTTTTGTGCTTAGAAATCATTACATTAATTCTATTAGCATTTATCAAGAGTACAATACATTATGCTTGTCATGTAGTAAATACAACTATAACTATTGACCTGATGCACAATTAAAAAAAAAAATCACAGACTTTGACCAACACTGTGCCAATACTCCACAAATCCCAATACCTGGTGAACACAATTTTATTCTGCATTTCTAACTTCCAGATGCTTCTGCAGCAGACTTTCTGTGTCTGCCTTATTTAACTTAATGCAAATTCTGCATATTCATCTCAGGTCACCTCAAATGACACATTATCTCTTTTATGGTTAAATATTAATCATGTAGAAATATCAAAGTTTTTCTCATTCAATCACTGATAGGTACATAAGGTAAATCCGTATTTGACTATTGTGAACAATGTTTCCACTGAACTTGGCAGTGGAGTAATCTCCTCAACATGCTGATTTAATCTTGAGGATACATATTTAGTACTTGCATTTGGGGATACAAGGTCATTCAACTTCTAATCTTTTTATGTACAATGCTTCAGATTAAAGCCATGGGTGCTGCATCACTGAACTACAACACAGCCTATTAAAAATTGTTTATTTTGAGACATGGTGTCACTAAGTTGCTGTGATTTGCCTCAAACCTGAAATCCTCTTGCACAGCTTCCCAATTAGCTGGGATTACAAGCATGCAGCACTTTACTTGCCTCATTTTCATTTACTTAAAACTTCCATACTATTTTTAAAAATGAGTATATAATCTACTGTTGGTTGGTTTTTAAATGAACAAACCAATTAAAAAGACTACAGCACACAAAGAAAAACTTGGTTTTATAAAAGTAACAAAAAAAATTAGGAATTAAAACATTAGGAAAATGGGAGTTATTAGTAATTACTAAATGACCTTTGAAAGAGGTTTAGTGAGCTAATCCAGAACACAGAGAATTGAATACAATTTAGACAAAATTTGTTAACAGAAACAAGCAGAAATTGTATACGTAAAGAGTTCCTTTAAAAAACTATCTGAGAGAATCAGAGGAGGTTGTGCACAGCTGTGATCCCATCAACCTGAGAGTCTGGGCCAGGAGGCCATCCTTAGCAACATAATAAGGTCCTGTCAAAAATTTTACAAAATGAAAACAGCTGAAGATGTTATTGAGTTGTAAAGCACTGCTTAGTTCCATCCCTTATGCTAGTGAAAAAGTTTGAGATATTACAAGTATCATAAACAAAACAAATCAAGATCCAAGAAGCTCAATTATCTTCAAGTGGGGGGGGGGGGCGATCTCAAGAATTATTTAATCAAAGTTTTAAAAATTTAGAAGAAATCTTGAGGACACCAAGAGAAAAAAAGATGTGTCTAACAATACTGAAAGGAATGAGGAATATTGCCAAAGGAGTAAAAGAATAAAATTACCAACCAAGATTATTATGTGCAGAAATACTAGATTTGAAAAATAAAGAATTTAAAGATATGTAAATACCCAAAAGTTTATCACCACTAGATCTATCCTCGAAAAAACTCTAAAGGGAATTCTTCATGCTGAAAAATAAATCTGCACAACAACAAGTCATATGAAACTGTAAAGTTTTCTTGGCAAACAAAAAGTCCCATACAATGCTACTTTACTATAATGATGGGTTATAAAAAAAAATTAATTTTGCAATAAAATTTCAAAGACAAAAGTATAAAAATCAACATAAACCTGTTAATGGGAATGTGATATAAAACTGCAGTAACATAATTTTGAAATGATATATAAATATACGGGACTTTTATATTGAATTGAAGTTAATTTGTCACCAATTTAAAATATAATGTAAACTTTATAAAGTTTCAATGTAAATGACAAAATGAATCCCCATAGAATGTGTAAACAGAAGAGAGGAATGAAAACATGTCACCATGAAAAGCAATGAACCACAAATGAAACCATTAAGAAAAGTTAAAAAAACAATTATAAGAAATATAGAAAACTGCTTACAAAGTAGGAGTAGTGATTTCTAAATATTGAGAAATTTACTTGATTACAAATGCATTATTACCAAACCTCAATCAAAACAAAAAGCTTGAGCAACAGAATTAAAACTACAAAAATACAATGGTATGTAATCTACAGGAGACTCTATATCTAGGACTCAAAAAAAGTGAAAGCAAAAGAATATAAAAATGTTACATACAAAAGTGACCAAAAGAAAGCTGGGTCACTAAGCTATGGTATGCAAAACATAGTTTTAAACAAAAAGTTACATGAGATCAAAAAATAGACTTCAACTTGAAAAAATTAAAAAGAGGCAAAGTAGAATACTATATAAAGATAAAAGGTACTTTTCCTTTGGATACTGCAATAAGAATAGATACACTTTTCACTCATTTAAATAATACTTCCCAGATAGAAAAGGGTAAGAATGAAAGAAGTGAATAAAGAAATAGAAAGCAACGCTATAAAACTAGGAGACACAAATTCCCATTTGCTGTGAAGTCCAACAAAATGGTAATCACAAAAGACTGAAAAATACTTTAAACCAATTTGACTTATATACTCAAAGGTATTACTAGCAAATGGACCATTATACTAGATAGACTAACTTACAGGGAATAAAATAAAGGTTAATTAGAGATGAAGATATTAAAACTATTTTGTAGACATCATAGAATAAAATTAGAAATCAAAAGTGGAAGGAAAGTTCAAAAATATGTGGCAGTAGATTGAATATACTCAAAGCTATCTGGAGACTCCACGTAATATCTATCAAACTCCCAATGTTATTTTTTGCAGAAACAACAAGTGAACACGGCAGCTTTTTTCAGTTGTTAATATTGACATCAAGTTAGACAAATAGGCATATAGAGTTCTGAGTGGGTGTGGTATAATAAGCCTTCCCATATATGGCAAATAAAGACATTTGCACACCAATGTTTGTTACGATATTACTCAACAGGACCATGATATGGAGGCAAACCAAATGTCCCTTGAAATGAGTAGATGGGGCAATTCAGATTATAGAAACTATAGAATATTTTAAAGTCAAAAAAGTAAGAAATTTTCTAAAATCTATAATAAGGATAAATCTTAAGTACATTATGTTACCTGAAATAAGTCACTACCAAAAAGACATATACTGCAGAACTGTACTGATATAAAATATTTAACCTAACAAACAAAAAGAAAACCCCTTTCTGAACAGAAATGAGAATGGTGTTTGTGATGAAGACAGAAATGAGGCCTTGTTTATTTTTTTTAGTATAATTTTACTTTATTATTGCTCCTAGAAAAATTTAATTACATGTTAAAAATTACATACGAAGCTTGCAAATGTGATTTTTATTATATCTCTATTAGACAGCACCGTTCTACAGATCACCCTGCTTTAACAGTGTGTTATTGAAAACCTCATCCTTTTGGAAAGGAGGGAAAGTATTAATGCAGAGGAGGTGACAGCAGTAGATGATGTGCAAAAGGGGGAGGTTAACTAGGACATGCACTTGTCCGTCCATTTGTCTTTTGTTTGTATGATTCACAAAAAAAAGAAAAAGAAAAAAAAAACCTCCTTGGCAAAATGAGTTTTTTCAGCTCTCTTCATCCCAGGTAAGTAGTATTCTGTACCTTGCCCATCTCCAGGAAAAACCTGTTCTCAGATTTACTTTAGCTAATATACTGGAAAGGATCTGATAAGACAATTCACACCACATTGCAAATAACTGGTAACTTTATGTTTACCCTCTCAGAGGGAATTTCCATTTTAAAAGGGAACAATCCCTGAACCCAAAGGAATACCTAATGGTGGGGTTTCAGTCGTCAGTGACAGGTGAGTGAGAAGTAGAATCTGGTTTTATGTGTGTGTTTGTATGTATGGCTACACTCTGGATGTGGTTGAGAGTAGGGTCTTTGGATAGAAAGGTGATATGGCTGACCAACAAGCTGAGGAAAGAAGGTAGCAAATCCCCAGCTGGATCAGAAATGGGAAGGGCTCTCAGATACCAACCAGATTCAGTGCTGGCCCTCAAGGGTTTATTAAGTAATAGAATAACACAGTTGATGTCACCAAAGGGTAGGTATGAAGATGGTCTCCATGGTAACTACTATGGAGTAGCAGAAAGACTCTCAGAGTAGGATTCAGGAGACTTGTTATTGCAGTCCACTGACTCACTGGCTTAACTCTGAGCAAGTCCTTTACCCCTTGGGTCTCATTTTCTTTCTCTGCTGCAAGTCAGAGAAGGGGATAGGCTCGCTGGCCAGCGCTTGGTGGGGCTAGCTGGTAAGAGATGGCAGCAGTGGCAGCTTCTTCCAATGGGTCAGGCTGCTGCTCAGCACAGCCAAGCCTGTGCTGTACTGCCTTGCCAGGTCCATGTACTCATGCTGCTCCATGCCCTGGGAGTCTGCAGCAGACACATCAATGATGTTGCTAGCTGGTTTTGCGAGGATGGAAGAGAGCAGGGCCTGCTCATCTGTGCGAGCAAAAGGCAGGCTGTGGTAGTTGGGCTCAGCTCCATTGAGGGCTTTGGTGGGGGGGCTACTAGGGTCCAATAGCAGCTTCCGCTCCTCTGGGTCCTGGTCCAAATCCTCATTTTCACTGCTGTAGCAGCACCCCATGGCCGGGGTTGGGCAGGGCGCTCAGGCCACGCGGAGGAGGGACCGAGGCCTTGTTTAGATGGGAATTAATTTTTTCTTTTTTGAGATGTAAACTTTCTAGAGATATATTACATAATACTTTAAATTACCATTACTGAACAGTAAACTTGAAATGTTGGAGAAAACAAGTTTTGTTTTGTGGTTTTGATCAAAATTAAAATTTTAAACAATACATAAGATAAACAAAATTGCAAAATTTTTGAAAGCTATGGTCTTTATCCTATAAATAAGAACAAACTCATCAATATAAATTATGGGAATGCATGTAATCCCAGCTACTAGCAATTCTGAGTCAGAGAGATTATAAATTCAAAGCCATCCTCAACAACTTACTGAGAACATCTCTCCAAATATAAATAAAAAGGGGCTGGGATGTAGCTCATTACTAGCACACATTTGAATTCAGTCTCCATTACATTTATGTATAGGAAATTTCTATTACTATGCACATAGAAAGGATAAAAAACAAGTTCAGATAAAATATTAAAGTCATTTTTTAAAAACAGGTGTAATATTTATACAATTAAGTTAAAGCACATTTAATTTTATTGGCAACAGAAACAATGTTCATGCATATTTCAACTTACATGGAATTTGTGAAGTAATGGAATTTTGCCATCTAATCACAAATAAAACAGTATTAACAGATGTGAATAAAATCTACTCGACAACGTGAAACTACTCTATAAAATGAAAGAAAAAAAGAGAAAATTCAACCAACAAAATTGTAAATAATAACGGAAGTATTATTTTTAAAAACCTTTTTGTATAACTACATTTATATCTGTGACTGCAGACCCAAAAAATAGCAGTCACTGTGAGAATCCTGACATTCATTACATGGCAGAAAATTTCACAGAAAATCCATTGTAAGTATTCAGAAAGAGCTCTGATAAGGGAATTTTAATGAATAAATACATAAACAATATCAGAGAGACTGCTTTGTGACATTAACATATTACAATGGTTTGACCTGGAGGTCTCTGGAAATGTGCACAGCTTTCTTAGAGATCCACAAATAAGGAAGACCTGTCAGATCATGCAGACCCTCACAAGCAAAGGGAAGTGCTTTGGTGATTAACTGGAATGAACTGGGACCTCACTGGAAGAAAGCAGGAGACTTTACTGAAACTGAAAGCATAGGAAGTACGTGTTCTTCTATGACAACAACAGAAAGAAACCTAAGCTTCTGAAAAATCTTTTCTGCTGGGATAACTTCTCAATCAACATTTTGAAGTCTGGCTTCCTCCTTGACTTTTGGGCCTTTCAACTGTGGCCTCTAAGTACAATTGATCTAGAGCAAAGGATATATATCACAACAAGAAAGGGAGAGATTAAAGATTTTTAAAAATGTAATTAATATTCTATCTATACCCAAAAATGCCCTATCTTTTTTCTTGAAAGCACAAATCTGAAATTCATTCTTGCAGAGAAGTTCCCCCAAAAAATGAAGGAAATTAAATATTGATAATTAATTAGGAATTCTGAAGGGAAGTCATCCTCACCCAGGAAGACCAAGTTTCTGTAGTTCTCTAACATCACATCTCTATATAAATTTCGCTGAGCAGAATCCAGGCATTCCCACTCCTCTTCAGAGAAATTAATGGCCACATCTCTGAATGCCAACAATTCCTGGAATGAGAATCAGTATATAAATAGCACATTGACCACATGATATTTCAGAGTTTTTAATTAACCAAAGTTGAAATTAGAAATGGCTCTCATGTAGGTGAGAAACTTCTAGTATTTAATAAGATAATTTTAAACACAGTGATACTCTCTATAATCTAATTCTGAGGAAAAAGTGACATAAGTACAAAAAGTGTATATACCCTACTTTTGTGAAATAAAATATAAAATTATGGCATCAAAACAAGAATATACATTTTAATTGTTATTTTACCTATCATAAGATAAATTGTACATATGCCTCACATAGGTAAGTTATCATGATTTAGAAGGGTAATTCTAAAATTGTAATTGTACAACCACGAATCAGAGATTTACTAAAATGTACACTCTTGATTCAGTAGTTCTGAGATGAAACCTGGTTGTCTAAATGTACAGCAAGCTCTCTAGTGATTCCAATAACAGTGGTATCAGAGAAATTTTTGAATTGCAAGGAGCTAGACCACTAAATGAAACATTCATTGATGAGTCTACATTCAAATATTTTATGGGATTTATGCATGTTATTAAAATAGCAAATAGCAACAATCCTTTTTGATAATTCAAATGTGTACATATCACTCTAAGAGGTTTTTCATATCTTAATTCATAAAAATGAAAATAATATGATAGCAGTAAGAGTATTCATCTTTTATAATATTTTATAAAGCATCCAGTAAATGGTAATGCTTGACTTTTGCCCAAGTTTATTTGAACTGGAATTTAGAAGGAACATTCAAGTCAAAAGAAAGTGTGAATGTTACAAAGAATTTTCAGAGCAGGAAAGTTATTATAAATAAGAACAGTAATGGAAACATGTTAAGAAGACAACAAAATCAAATTGATTAAGTGATATTTATATTTTATATACACAGACATAAAAATGTCAACTTTTATGCATTAAAATAAATTTTCATGTGAATAAAAAGAAATATATTCAATTTTTTAAAAAATATTTGTTTCTTTTAGTTGTACACAATGCCTTTATTTTTATTTATTTATTTTTATGTGGTGCTGAGAATCGAATCCAGGGTCTTGCACATACCAGGCAAGCACTCTACCACTGAGCCACAACCCCATCCCTATATTCAATTTTTTTAACTTACAAATCAATTTGGGATAGCGAATTTTTAAAAAACACACTATTGACCCAATCACAGTGGCACATGTCTGTAATCCCTGAGGCTCAGAAGGTTGAAAGAAGCACATTCAAAGCTAGGCTCCACAATTTAGTGAGGCCCTAAACAACATAGTGAGACTCTGTCTCAAAATTTTTAAAAGGGGGCTGTGGATATTGGTCTGTTTTCAAGTACCCCTGAGTTCCATCCCTGTACCAAAACAAAAAAGACTAAATAACTCTATGGGTCAAAGTGACCCTGAGAAGAATGATCAATGTTATTATAAACAAGATTTTGTTTAAGGAGGTGATAACCTTCCCCAGAAGAAGAAAAAAAATACCCCCTAAAAAAGGGAAAAATTGATAGGGATTTAAAGCCTCCTCTGTACAAGTTCTTAAAAGATGATTTTGATTTTGGCAAATACCTTGCAATACCCCAATCCTGCCTGTGTAACAAAGGAAAAAAACACACTGGTGACTACTAATTTGGGCAAGACCTGAGAGCTACAAATTACACTGTTTCAGATATTCATCCCACAGTACCTAATCCATACACCTTACTAATGGTGATGTCAGGTAACTGCCTGGTTCACAGTGCTAGAATTAAAAGGTGAGTTCTTTTGCAACCCTCTTAAAAAGAATTCCTAATCACTGCTTTTGAGTGACAGGACTTCAATACAAAAGTAACTATTCAGGATTGCCAGACTATCCTACATCAGGAATTTAAAATGTTTTGTGTTTTGTTTAATGGAAGGCTACCAAAAGAGTTAGCTGTGAGGGTTACAGCTGGATAAAGAAATCCTTTCATGATATAAGGATGATCTGCCTGTAGCCAACCCCAACTACGAACTCTGATTTTCAAATACTATTGCTGTGGGAAAACACCACCCCTCATGTGGATATGAGGTGTCCACTAAAATGACTTATTTTGTAAACAAGTCACCTACCTGGGACTCCTGATTAGCCAATGACTTAAATCTTGATGTCAGATTAAAAGCAAGCTAGCTTGAGCCTTAAAGAACTAGAGACAGATACATGGGTTCCCAGAAATGTCAGTGTTATGATCTAGATATTAGGTGTCCCACAAAAGCTCACATGTGAGACTATGCAAGGTTTAGATATAAAGTGATTGGGTTATGACAGTCTTACCTATTCAGTGCATTAATCCCTGGTTCACAGTAAATGCAGGCAGGTAGGGTATAGCTGGAGAAGGTAACTCCCTGGGGTTTATATTTTGTCCCTGTTGAGCAAAGCTTTCTGTGCTTCCTGGCACTATATTCCCAACTGCTTTTCCCCACCACAGTCTTCTGCCATGATATTCTGACTCATCCCAGGCCTTGAGGAATGTAGTCAGCTACCTATGACTGAAACTGTAAACCCCCCTGAACAAACTTTTCCTCCTCTAAAATTGTTCTTGTTATTCGGAATTTTGGTCTCAGCACTGAAAACATTGACTAAAACACTCAGCATGCTGCCATATTTGGGTCCCTAGTTTTTGGACTAACAGGTAAACTCCTGCATGAAGCCTTTTAAGGCTTCCTTTTAAGGAACAAATAAAACGTTTCACTTATACACCAGAATGCCAAGCTGTCTTTGAGAAGTTAAAACAAAGGTTCATGACAGCCCCTCCCTAGGCCTGTCTGACTCTATGTGAATGAGAAACAAAACACAGACCATGAAGTTCTCTTACACACACTGAAGGCATATTGCAACCAGTAGCCTATGTGAGACATCGGCTTGACCACACAGTGAAAGGAGGGTACTCTGCCTTTGGGGTATGATTGACACTGGTGATTTACCACAAGAGGTTGAGAAACACACTCTAGAACTATCCATCACTGGGTTTGTTGCTCATCAAGTCCTATCCTACTAAAACAGAAGGATTGGTGTCAGCTGACTCCTAGGATGATAGGGAGATCACAGGTCATCCTATCTGACAATCCAAATGTCAACCTCAACAGAAACCATGCCACCTTAAATCAAAAAAACCTGTTACCAGTAGATGACATGACTACTCTGAGAACTTGGAGATCTATGGCAAGTGGGATTTGCTTGATTAGCCTATCACTGAGCCAGACGGAAACATCTTCATCTATAGAGGCAGGATCATGGCTGGATACTTGGCAGTCATGGCACAACAGAAATTAAAAACTGAGATTTGGGGGCTGGGGATGTGGCTCAAGCGGTAGGGCGCTCGCATGGCATGCGTGTGGCCTGGGTTCGATCCTCAGCACCATATACAAACAAAGATGGTGTGTCCACCGAAAACTAAAATAAATAAATAAATATTTTTTTTAAAAAACTGAGATTTTGCTGTGAACAACATCAACCCAGAAAGCCAAGCTAATTTTTCTCACAAGAGCTCTGACTGACCAAAGGAAAGAAGGTAAGCATTTATACTGACTCAAAATATGCCTTCAAGATAGTACATACTCATGAAGTTATCTGGAAAGAAAGAGGACTCCTTGCAGCTAAGAACAAGGACATTAAGGTACCCTTGAAAATATTGCCAATAATATAGGCTACGTTCACACCATAGCAGGTGGCAATCATGCAATGTCCTGGCTGTCAGACAATTGATACCTATGTGGCCAGGAGAAAACAGGCTGCTGATGGGACAACCAAAAGGACCAGAAAAGACAAACTGTTTATCAGGGACCTAATACCTCAGCTTGAATCAAACCCATTCCAAATCTTTTTATACTAACGAGAACAAGAAAAGGAGCGAAGAATGGAGCTTATTATCCAAAGATAACACTGGGATAAAACTGATAAGTACAGATAGAAATCCTATGGGTTCATCCTTCCTCCTGAAGCATTCCCCTGTTCTTGATAAAAAATTCAAGAAGAGTGCTCATTAGAGGAAGGGTTCCTTGGTCAATTTCATCAAGCCCCCACTTGTGAGGGCCATGCCTCCAATGGATTTTTCAGTAAGCGATCAGAACTGCATCTTTTGCACTCAAAACAATTCAAGGACTAATATACAGTGTACCATTAAAAAAAAAAAAACCTCGATTTGTAAAAATATAGCCTTTTGATGATTGGTAAGTACATTTTACCCAAATGCCCTTTCATAGAAACCTGTAAATATTTGCTTGTACTTGTAGACACCTTCTCTGTGAGAGTCAGGCTTATTCTACCAGAAAAGACTTCAGAAATAACTAGTGTCCTCTTAAAGGAGCTGATCTCAAGATACTGGATCCTCTTAATGCAAAGTAACATAGACTGTATTTCATTGCAGAAGTGACCCCATGAGTGTGCAAAACACCAAATGGCTAATGGCAGTGATATGTATTCTGGAGACCCCAGTCTTTAAAAAAAAAAAAAAATTATATATATATTTATATCTCAACCATACCTAAAGTATGCCAAGAAACCCACCTGCTTTGGGATGTTTTTGTCATATGCTCTCCTCAAAAGGGTATCTACAGAACAAGAATTAAATTGAGTCCACAAAAAAAAAAAAAAATAGTATATTAAAGACCCTTCCTTATATCATGGTGGGACAGAGAAAAACTTGGCAAGAGCTAAATAAAAAATAAAAAATAAAAAAAAAAACAGGTTAATACAATGTGAACAAAAATCAGTCAAACATTAACTGTTCTACAAGAGTCTGCTTCTTCCAGGTCACTACCAGGGCTGGAATTTCCTCTCC